TTGATAATATTTACGCAATATTTGTCAAACACTTAATGTTTTTGACAAAATAATAATTGTTGTACTCTTTAAGTTGCATTAAAAGACTAATTTTAGCATAACTATTTAATAACTTTTGATATTCTTTTCAACAGCATAAATATAGTATGGAGAAATCAAAATATTATTATCCGGATAGAGTTGTAACGATGCCTACTACATATGTGTAATTACTGTATAATACTTGGCTCGTTAATACAGTTTTTTTTAAATATTAATTCATTAATTAGGGAGCAGCGAAAACTGAAATGGAATTTTCTGATGGGTTAAGCGTTAGTCCAGGGCTCGAAAAACATCCCGTCCTCTGCGGTCAAAAATTCCCCGCGGACAACAAATTTCTAGAATCCGACGTCCGCGCGGACGGCCATTTTCCCGTTAATCTTCGTGATACATTTTCAATTTTTGTTATCTTACAAGAGTCTAGCACCTCACTTCTAAAATGACCCTCTAATCTAGAAATACAGCAACATACTGCTCATGGTGGAATTGATGTTTTCTCTGTTTGGGAGTACTGCAGCGGTTGAAAGAGGCTTTTTAGCAATGAACTTACAAAAAAAAACACATTACGTTCTGGCCTTATACAAGAAGCGTTTAACGCAGTTATGAACATCCACCTAAATGGAAAACCCCTTTCAGATTTCTATGCAGAAACCTCTGTAAATCATTGGCTTGATTGTGGAACTGCCAAACGTCTTACTTGATTCATTTAAGAAACGCAGTACCCTCGGATAAATTGACAATCCAGATAACTTGACCTTTGTCATTTAAATTATTTCGTAAAGGAAATACTAGGTTACTATTAGTAACCTAGTATATACTATATAATGTAATGCGTATTACTGTATAATGTAATCCTAGTATTTGTAATCCTAGTAACCACTAATTCATTGTGCAATTTATATAAATATTTGTAATAAATAAGAGAAAATTATATATTTTTTTTATTTAGAAGCGACGGGTAAGTTTCAAAGGAGGAGGGGTACATTGTTGGACAAGCCGTCCTCGGGGACGGGTAAAATTTCTGAATTTTTTCGAGCCCTGCGTTAGTAATTGTTTTACATTTTGCTATAAGAGATACAGTTTTTCACATATTTTAAAAATAACATCAGTGATAATTTCTAACTTATAGTTCTATTTAAACAAAAAAATAATTTATTGCGCACATTTAAATATTTAATTATTTTATATTCGTTATTTCAGATAAATGCAATAAAGAACATGACGTGTTAGCACGTGTGGTCCACGTCATCAAATTTTTACTTTTATTGTTGTCTGATACCACACCCCTTTCTTTCAATTCCTACTATTAGTTCACACTCTCCCTATATATATATTTATATATCTTGTTCAAATTTTCAATTGTTAATAAAATACTTTTTCTTCATTCAAGTTCAAATTCATTTTTTAAACTTGTAGTGTTTGACACTTGATATTAGTACAGTTTTTTTTTCAAATATCAGAAATTCATTAAATTTATTTAATTTTACTTTTATATGGGAGAAAAATTGTAATTATTCAATAAAAAGTAACTGAAATAAAATGTTTCTTTGTCGACCTTGAGAGGGATTCATTTATCGACAAAGTCAACCTTCATTTATCAAAAGGTATCTCAAGATAGAATCAAGTTAACAAGTCTTATATTCTAGCGAATTGGTATTTAATATTTATAGTGGTAGTTACACCACAACCTGAGTAGGAATTGATTAAAAATTTTTTTTTATATACTACTTGTTTCACAAGCAAATCGCATGACATGATCTTTAATAGTAAAAAAAAATTAATAAAATAAGAAAGAAAACCTTTGTCATAAGCAAGAACTTAATAATAGTTTATTACTTTAGAATTTGTTTTTTGTCTGTATTGATAAATAACATAATATTACTCTTACAATGTAAAATATAAGAATATAAAATGTATGTAGGGTAAACTAACCAGTGAAGGAGCACTTAAGCTTCGCTTGCCTTTTAAAAAATCATATTAATTTCAAAAATCGTAATTTTAGTTAAATGACAGTGTCAACATATTTGTTACTAATTGCAAATTATGTAAAAAAATTGTAGAGAACTTACATAATATTGTTTTAAAGTTTTAGAGGTTCAAATAACAAGTAGTAAGAAGACCAAGTAAAGGAACAGCTCTTACCAGTGAATGAACATCCAGTAAAGGAACACTTAATTATGGTTAATTTTTAATGCTCTTTATGAATTTATAAGCCATACAAATATTTAAAAATAAGCCTATTCTTGAAATTATAACATATAAATACTTGGAAAATGTTAAATTTTTTTTGTAATCATGAATTGAAAATTAAAGTGTCAACATATTAACACATACTGTTCATTCACTGGGAAATCTATGCCCAGTAAAGGAACATGCCTGTTCCCTCACTGGTTAGAAGTTGTTTTTCGTATTTTTAACATACTTTTGATGCGGAACATCACTAAAGGTACAAGAAAATTAAAGTTTATCTTTTATTTTCATTAACTTAGAGAGAAATCCAGTAAAGGAACACTTGTTCCTTCACTTGTTTTTCATCGTTTGGTGATCCAGTGAATAAACACTCCCTTATCTCAGCACTTTATTATGCTATGATGCTTAAAAAAAATGTAACTTCAATAACTATATTTTGAATTCTCTTTTTCACAGTGAGAAAAATAAAACTATTGCATGCAATTAATTCCACTTCAAACATATAAATACAAACACTCACCTTATAATTTTTTCAAAGAAACAAGGTGTTGCAGTGATAATAACAAATTCAAAAAATTTTCCAGAGAAGTCTATTTGACCAGGTAATCCAAAACATTGCTAGATGACTTCCTATTGTTTGACAGTAAGCTATTGTTACCAACCAATCTAAGGAAAAACTTTCAAATTCTTATTTTTAATCAATATATGAAATGTTCCTTCACTGGTTGGTTTACTCTATATAGTATATACGAATATAGTATATAAAAATATAATAATATGCTAAGAATATAACAATTTAATAGAATTTTTTTTAGTCGGAAATAATATTAAACAGTATTCATTGCAGCTGTGACTAAGTGTCGAAAACAAGTGGGGAAAAAATTGCCAGTGTTTTCAAAATGCAGTGTTTTTTATGAGAATCATAATGATGATTTTATTAATCATGGGCGATGATTTTATTTTATTTTATAGCAGTCGTTGAACCCAATTTTCAGTTTAGGACTACTAATCTTCAACTCCGTAGCCTTGTAATGTTGAACTCAATCCAGAAGTTAAGGAAACTCCAGGATCAACCATTAGGGAGAAATGTTGCAGTCGTGAAAGACTTTTTCGTGGAACTTACTCGCATTTGAGTTACATGAAAAGGAAAATCACGAAAACCTACCATGGCTAGCCTGACGGCAAGGGGACTCTAACCCATGATTCGTCTACCACTGAGGATATTTTACGCCAGCATTGTGGCTGGTGCGAGTCGGGTGCGGAATTCGTATCGACCAGCCATCGTTGGCATTCGAACTTGGCTCACCTCATTGAAAAGCGAAAGCTCTATCCTACTTCATGTAGCAAATAAATAGATCTTATGAGGATCATGTGTCTTAGAGGGGATCTCTAAGATTCTAATATGGTGGCCAGGTTCGAATCCCAGCTATAACTGGTCGATCCCAATTCTCCTTCCCGCTCACACTGACCTCAGTGCTGATATAAAATGTCCTCAGTGGTAGCCTGATTCATGGTTAGAATCCATTTACCGTTAGTCTTACCGTGGAAAGTTTCGTGATTTGCCTCACCATATATGTAACTCAAAGGTGGATTAGTTCCATCGAAATGACCTCCACGAAGGCTAGTTTGTCCAAAATGCTTGACCCAGGAGTTCCCTTGTCTTTTGGGTAAGGTTCTAAGTTACCAAAGATACGGAGTTGAGCATCGATAGTCGAAAATCCAAAAAATCGGTCTGCCGTGCAACGTCGGATATAAAATAATATAAAGTGTTTTGAAAGATAGTTGGGCTTGTCTGAATTTTCATTTGTTGTCCAATCGATTCTTATAGTTTTATTGTGCAAAATTATGTTTATTCCATCAAAGTAATAAATATGAAATTGTAGAACACTATTACTAAGTAATACCTTTAGTGTAAATTTTGTCCCAATAGAAATAGGAATTTAACTCTCTGTTAGCATTTTGAGTAGTATTTTTTATTTTTATCTTGATATAATAATCTGTTTATCGCCAAGATTTTTACAAGAAAAAAAAAAAAAAACTAAATTTTTTTTTTTAATTAATGATTGTTTCAATCTTGTTTATATCGACAGTCTTAGTGAACGAATAAAAAGTATTTCCAAAAACTGTAAAGAAATATTCTTTAGAAACGTGCACGTAATTTTTTTTATTTTTTCTTATAGGTTATTAACTAAACTCACTCTTCAGCGAATTTATATTTTAAACGAAATATTTAATCGGAACGTTAAATAACATTAGAACGTTAAATATGGTTAAATATACTCCATTTAACGAGTAACCCATAACAAATATTTGAGACGATTTTTCTTTTTTTGGATTTTTTTTTAGCTGTTCGTCAGGTCTCCAACCGTTTTTTGGATTGAAATGAAATGACTTCATTTTTAATTAAAAGATTATCACATCGAACTTTTTTTTAACTATAATTTATTTGAGTACCTGTAAAAAAGAATGCCGCGAATAGAGAACTCCTTAACCGCTCGCTATACGCGTATAAAATAACATAACATAAATAATAGTTAGGATAACCTCGTTATAGTTTATAAACTATTTTTAATTCTACTTCATCTGAGGAAGATGGAGAAATAGTGTCGTTTGGGAGATTGTTTTAAATCCTGCTTTTTCCAGAAAGAAGGAAAATCTCTGTTTGAGATACCGCCCTCTACCTGTACTGAGAAGAGGAATGGGGCGCCCCCTTTCCGGGAAATAGGCACCGACCTAGAAAAGGTGGGGTGGGGGAGGAGGAGGAAGCGAGAGCCGCATTTCGAACCGAGTTTTACCGCAGTCGGATACACGCAAGGGATACACACTTCTTTCGCTGGGATGTTGCTGTGAAAACCCCCTCCTTTTTTTCAGGAGGATAAGATGCCTCCTCCTCAGCTTCTAGTCGCCACCTTTTTACTTCTAGTCGCCAACGTCAAAGGTCAGTGTCATTGATATTTTATATTATTTCAACTATCCCAAAATCTATGCGTTTAATGGCAACCCCCGTCTCCCTTTAATGCTACCTCGACTGGAATGGATGCTGTTGGAACTGTTTGCATCCACTAAACCGAGATTTCTCATTTAAAAATAAATAATTAAAATGTGCAATAAATATGATAAAAATGAACGCTCTCTTTTGATTATGCTAAACAGAATCGATTCGTAAATCTCATATTTAACTACAAAATCGTTTGGGAAAAAGTAAATGTTTGTGTGTTCGATATTAAACGGGATTTTTTATTTCTAGGAAAGAATTCTTATTTTTACTTTACGGCAACTTCGTTCTCTCTTTAATTCTGATATTATTCTCTTACAGTATTCTTTTTTAATTCTGCTGAACAGAATCGATTCATAAATCTCATATTTAACGACAAAATCGTTTGGGAAAAAGTAAATGTTTGTGTGTTCGATATTAAGCGGGATTTTTATTTCTAGGAAAGAATTCTTATTTTTACTTTACGGCAACTTCGTTCTCTTTTTAATTCTGATATTATTCTCTTATAGTATTCTTTTTTAATTCTGCTGAACAGAATCGATTCATAAATCGCATATTTAACAACAGAATCGTTTGGAGAAAAATTTTTTTTTGTGTATTCACCATTAAACGGCATTTTTATTTCGAAGAAAGAATTCTTATTTTTACGTTATTGCAACTTCGTTGAGAACATGCTTGATGAGTGAGATTGATTTAAATAAAAATGAATGAGACAAATTTGAATAAAACCAATATTCAACAATTACAAAGAAATTTATGAAGAAAATTATATAGAAGTATTGAACTAGATTTATCTGGATCTTAAAAATATTTATATAAAAGTTTACTATTACTAAATAAATTTCACTTTTCTGAAAATAATTTTAATGCATAGTTTTGTCTAACATTAAGTAACTTTTTTAAGTTTGTTAAGTCACGCTTTTTTTAAGTAAGTTTTTCTTAATTGTTTTACTTTAGTAGGGTCATTCCGTTTCCATAGACCTCGATGCATGTCAGAATTAAAAATTAATTTGCGACGCTATTAAAAATTATTTACCTCCAATTGTACATTTCTGTTAGAAGACTTAAAAAGCAGGATATGTTTCTTTTTCTTAATTATTAAGAAGTCGGAGAATTCCAACGGGCGCACCATTTTTATCGAAATATGTTTTTATTCCACCTCTGGTCAAAAATACACTAAACAATAAATTTCATTAACCTTTGAGATTCATAATAAATATTAGTCATTACAGTACTATTCTTTAAAGCATATATTCATTTATTTTTAAAAGATATTTTTTCTATTGATTTGTATAATCTTTCCATTCTGTGCAAATCTATAAAGTTTCTCTCTATAATAAAAAATCAGGAGGGGGCGCCGCTGGACTCTGCTTTGGCTGTTCAACTTACTGCCCCTGGCCATATTATTAGAACCACTATAAGAACCACTATTAGAACCACTGTAAATTCTTAATTATCAGGTGATACTATACAGCTTTATTGTTTTTACGAGACTGAAACAGATTTGTACTTGTTTACATTCGTGTATCAATTAGGGAAATTAGACGATATATTAAATAAATATAGAATATTTATCATATCAGTATTATATTAGTATATTATGATAATTAGACCAAATTATTAGACGCACTATAGTTTTTTAATAATGACATGTGTTGCACGAGTTTATAGGCAGTACTTTCTTACTTAAACACAAATGTAATGGTCTTTTATTCAAGAGATATTTCATATACTTCCTATTTGTATTTATTTCTAATGCATTGCGTTACAATGTTAACCAATTGATACAGTAACGTAAACAAGTGCAAATCGCCACATAAAAACAATAAAGTTGTATGGTATCACCTGTATAATTAAGATTTTACATAGAATCTTATAGTGCGTCTGATTATATGTCCAGGGTCTGTATATGTTACATTTTATTTTGCTGCTCGAAAACTCTAAAACTTATAAAATTGAAATTACGCAGATGCGTTAAAAGTGTATAGGAATTACGGTAGAATGAAAATAATTAACATTCAATAGTTTGTTAGATAATTAACTGTTTAACTTGTTTGAAAAAAGATAATACAGGCCGAAGGAATACAACCGTGGAGTTAAAATGGGACACGTTGAAAAGGACATTTTTGTTTATTAACTTAACACTGAGTTTTTTCGAAATTCTAAATTGTTCAAAAGTTGTAATTCTAAGTGCTTTTTTTTTGCGAATTCTTTCTTCCTTTTTTTTTTTTTTTTTGCTTTACGCTACATTTTGCTTAGCAGGTAAAAATATGACTTAGAAACCTGGAATTATGAAAGTGTGTCGAAAAGTATGCAAGGTGTTAGATGAGGTAAAAAAAATTACTTTTCGATTATTCATACAGGAACTATTGATTTAAATATGCAGTATAAGAAAATCATATTTGTAGATCGACTGTCCGTTGAAATGCATCTACAGAGTTAAAATTTGATGTGCTGATAGAACCATTTTGTATTACAATTTTAACGAGAAAATGTTTTTTTTTTTTTTTTTTGAAATAAAAAAAAACATTCTCCTTTGTTCGAATGTTATTAGAATTTAAGTGCTTATTTTAAAAAAAAAATTCAGCTTTTATGCTTTAAATATTTACTATTTATCCATAGTTGTAGAAAGTTTTCCACACGAGAATTTCCTTTTGTTATTTTTTATACTCGTGGCGATGTCAGTCAAAAGTAGGAAAATAGAAAAAGAAAGACGAAAAGATATAGATATATCGATATAGATATAAATATATATAGATAGATATATAGATATAGATATAGAGGAAAAAGAGAGAGAAATTACGTGTTGTCAGTTATAAATCTTAACATTTATAGTAAAATTTTCAAAAAAAAAAAAAACTTATAAAAGAGATAAGAAATTCTTCCTATTTGAATTATTAAAAGTTTCGCCATCGTATAAATTATATCTAATTCATTTTTCCTTATGGAGTACACATTCTGTGTTCTTTAGGTTCAACTTTTTTTGTTAACAGATTTAAGTTCGGATGATTATTTTTCTAATCCAGGTAGTTGTCTATTATGTTACGATTAACACATTTACAAAATGTTCTTACATAAAGCTAAAAAAATTGTATACTTTGAAACCAAAATGTTCTGTCTTTTTGTGGAAAATATTGACGTAGAAAAAATAAACAATGATGAAAATAGAATTAATGACGGAGGTTCTTATTCTTCCAGTTTGTTTAAAAATTTCAATGTTTACAGTGTCTTCTTTCCGAGTTTAACACAGATTCCTGTTAATAGGGAAATGGGACAATATTGTTTTCATTAGTATTTTTCTAATAAACTCATACAGTCTTAACAGTCTACATACTTTTTTCTATAAATTATTAATGTAGTGGGCCTCCATTTTTCTTTTGAGAGTATCTTTATAAGCTCAGACTTATCAAAAATTATTTACAAAATATTTTTTAAAAGATAATTTTAAAAAATATATATATATCGAAAACTTACACGTTTGAACTGCAAGATAAGTAGAGTATTTTTTATTTATTTAAATGCACTTTTGAATAATTTATTTTAGCTGTATAGTTTGCCTTTTCATAAGGAAATGAAATTGAGAAAGGTTTTGCAAATCGAATCAAATATTTTTTTCTGAAGCCTCTTCTCGTTTAGAAAGCAAAACATGGATTCTAGCCTTTTTTACAGCTGTCATATTTTAAAACATGCGACCACTTTTTCAACGACGATTAAGAAACGATTCAGATCGTTTAAGAACGATTATTCTTAAACGATTAAGAAAGCTATTATTAATTGAAAAATTTTGCAAAATATAGTAAACATTGCAAGTTTCCTTTTCTAAAATGAAGAGCATTTTTAAGAAATAAGTGGTGAATAATGAAATTTTCACAATATTATAAAATATTAAAAACAAAACCATATTTATTAATAAGAATAATAAATGTACATAAGGTCTTTTTTCAACGACTGGCAGACTTTTTGTTATAAATAGTTTTGTCCTCTCATTAAATAATGCTAAATTAATTTACGTCTTCTAGCAAGGATTGTTATTATTTTTGAGTGCCAATGACTGGAATCATGACATTCACTCTATTTTATCTTTCAAAAATGCCATTTAATGGAAGTAAAACGTTCTTAAAAGTGAAAATTCGATTTTTTTTCCTTAAAATAAGAATTTTTTTTCTTCTTAAATTAGTAAATTATTTTAACATTGCCTTCATAAAAAGTAAACATGAATGTTAATCTGTAAAAACCAGATTTATTTTCAAATGTTTAGAAATTTATTTTTTTCTTTATGTTTATTTTAAATGTAATGTTATCAGCATTTAATTGCATTTTTCCAATATCCTCATAAGAAATAGTAATTCTTCAAAAATTTTAAATTTTTCATGCAGGGTATTATAAAATTTAAAATATAGAAAAAAGTGAATCCGGGTATGCTAAGAGTAAACCATGAAAATAGAAATACTGAAGCAATGTTTTCAATGTATTGAAATGCAAGCAAACTATTGGAGCAAGATTATCTGATATAATTTGTTTGCATTTAAAATTGAAATAATAATATTTGAAATATTATGGTTTACCTTAAGAAACAAGTTTAAAACAACAGCCTCTTCAGAGATGGTTGAGATGAAAACCACTGTTCTAAATATTCCCTACTAAAGATTTTCTTGTAAAAATTCCAAAATAGAACGTAGTTAATGCCCCAACCATAACACATTAACAGTATCAAATATTCGGTTTTAGGAAAATGTCAATCAGAAATTTAAATTAAAATGTTAGTATGTACAGTACCGTTTTGACGTATGGGCACATTCGAGCAGTGTCCGGGGGGCCCTTGACAATCCTACCTCTTATAAATTGCATAAAAAAAGAAACTTAGAATAAACACCATTGTCGTTTTATGTATATATATATCTATTTTTTAAATAAATATATTCTTCTGTATAAGTGTTCATTTT